AAGTTGGCGGGACCCATGTAAACACGTTGTTTTCGCCCATAAAGAGGCGAGCACAGTTTTAGCGGCCTAGACGGCTCGAAAGCACAGTTTAAGCAGAGCACTGTAAAAAGCTTACGAACTAAATAGTTGGCAACGCTACGAACAATTTTCGTTCTTTGTATTGCAAACCCGGGTGGAAGGATCTACACTTTTGACTGCATCAGTTTTCTAAGTTTTTTCCCAACTTAAAATGCAGATAGAGTGCATGCGAGTCTAAGTCACAAGTAGGGTTTCAAGTGTGTCTATATGGTAGTTTCAGTGTTCTGAAACTCCAGTTAAAGTACAGAAAAACATGCTTAAACTGCATTATAAGTACGAAAAACTATAGTTTAACTGTGCGAAAAGTACCACTTTTTTCGGACAAACTACAGTTTTCCGACAGTTTTTTATAGTTCGTTTCAGAATTCTGCCAGGTTTCTGCAACTTAAATTACAGTTTTACTGTAGTTAAATGTGAGTTTTGCTGTGTACTATAAGTATAGTTCTTGTTTTCAAATTTGAAAATTTTTATGCCCCACGTTGCTCTAATTTTCTTTGGTTACGCTTCTCCCTTTCGAATTATCAATTTTACCCTCGAAACTACTTACTTGGATGATGAAAGTTGACGGCGACCGATGGGAGTTGAACCCCGAACCTTCCAATTCGGAGACGAGGTCTTTACCCCTGGGCTATGGCGCCACGCTGCGGGAAAGTGTGCCGTTGCCCGATGTCCCTCAGAGCCTAGCGAACCCCTCTATTGCAGTCCGAACTGTAGTTTGACTACAGTTAAAGCATAGTTTAACTAAAGTGTCTTCGTTTTGGACTGCCAATCTTGCAAGAAATGTCTCCCGACTACTGAAAATTCGGTCATTATTGAAGGTGTTTGATAAGTAAACTATATTGGTGTTTGTTGTGGCGCTATACGTATTCATTTCAAGTCATCAAACGTTGGACTTAATGTTGACGGAGCGTGAGTGAAAGTTTAACGAAAAAACCTTAAATTATTTGAAATTGAAACTACGCCATTGCTACAATTGAAATCTGTATTAAATTTGGTGTCATTTACGTCACACTATCAGGTGTGAATCACATTGTGTAGACGTACAACAAACTGTAATCAACCCCAATATTTTCTTGCACTTAAAATTTTTTCTTGCTTGTTACATGCTATATAATCATAGATCAAAAATATTCACAAGTCTCATGATTTGTTTAATCGAAATTATATCTCTGATTACTCAAAATATACAGAAACTGTATAAAAATTGGTTTTCCCAATACAGATTGGTACTATTGATGTTATCTACTAGTTCAACTATTGGTATTCTGCATAATTAATGGTGTGAAAAGATTAAATTCTTACTCTTTATTATCATCTAGTCAGAATTACAGTTAATGTACTGGTTGCAATGCAGATGCAAATACAACTTTCAGGACAACTTCATACTAATGTCGGAAACTCGATAGTAAATTGGTCTCAAAACTGTCTTTAAACTACAGTGCGAAACTAGTGTGGAAAACTACAGAAAAAGTAGCATAATAAAATATCTGAAAACTGAATTGCCAAACTAATGTGTCAACTATACTCATTTCTCTTTTTTTTCTCCTCTGCAACTGCAGTTTCAACACTGCAGTTTGAACGCTATAGTCCAAACTACAGTTTAACTAAAGATCCTTCCACCCGGGAAGGAATTGTTCGTATTGCAAAGCGATTGTTTGTAAGGCTAGATGGGTCTTACGAACAATCGGTTTGCATTACAAACTATTTGCTCGTAAGCTTACGAACAATTAGTTCGTAATACAACGCTTCAAAATTCTTCGTAAGCTACGAACGTTTTGGTTTGCATTACGAACCTATAGTTCGTAAGCAATTTACAGTGAGTTCTTTGACGTGCTCAGATTTAATTGTGCGTCACTGGGTCCCGCTGGCCTAGTTTACCAGGGCCCTCCCGTCAAATTACGAGTTTGACGGTGCGTTTGGCCACCTGTCGTGGACGCACAATTAAAACGGATAGCACAACCTGAAAGCACAGTTTTTTCCGGTCAGAATGGCGGAATCGGATTGTTGAAATTCGCGGTGGGTCCCGCTTTCGTGAAGTTGGCGGGACCCATGTAAACACGTTGTTTTCGCCCATAAAGAGGC